CAAAAAAAAGATAAATCCAGACAAGAACCAGAACTGCAACCGAGCTGCCGCGTCCTAAAGAATTTATTGTTAATGCGGCAAGCAAGCCTAGTAAAAGGTCACGTGATACGTCGAAGGCTCGTTTTACGGAAGAACCCTTGATAAAAAATATAATTATTGATTAAACGATTTTTCGATTCTTTAAAGACAGCTTTTAAAAGTTACTAACTTTAAACTTGTAATTTCGTTCCGCAGTTGTAGGATTTTCAGTGTCGCCTGCATTTGCGCTGGCGCCATCAGTAGAGGGTTGTGAACCGTGAATAAGTGTGCTCAGCATGCTCAACATCCTGATATAAGGAGAAATAAACAATTGTTTAATCATAATATATTATTTAATTTTAAAAATAAAAATACGAACGATAATCAATACCAAAGGAAAGCCCATATTAAAAACATAATAAAGAATGCGATCCAAGTGGCACGAACTGAACCTCTCGAAAAAAACGTATCAAAAGCTTCAGGAGGGTAATTATGTGGGTAATACCCATTTCCACTTCCAGTTCCAGAAGCCATTTGTTGTATTTTACGTAAAGTTTCAGCTGGAATCACACTATTAGCGTTGATGGGAAGCAGTCGTAATAGCTATTGTAGATGTGATAGAGCTCGTTACGGAAGTAAACTTTTGGGAAAATTGTTGCCACTTTTTATAATTGGTTTTGCTTTTAGTGTGTGAATATTTGAAAGAAAAAAGATTCTTTTTATAGAAATTTTATTCCGACAATATGTCAAACATATCGATATGCATATCGATATGCATCGTTCGATTAGTTAACCGCCACCGACGTAATTATAAATTTCTCTCGAGCACTCATGATAATGTTTACGATACAGGTATTTTGACGTAAAAGGCAATAATTTATCATATCTACGTAATAATCGTCTTTTTTTTGGCTCGTGAAATCAAATCAATCATTTGAAGAGTTTCTTAAATTTGCATACATTAAAAAACGGCGAGATTTTATCCGTTTCATAACAGTCCTATTAATTTGTAATCAAAATTTGTTTTTTTTGGATTAATGACGCTAGCATCATCTTACATAATCATAATCACAATTGATCAAAAATCATAAAAGGCATAAATTCAAATAGCTTAATCGCATCATCAGTAAAAATACGCAATACATGTACATGTAATTGGTTAGATTAGGTGAAATCCGCAATAAATAAGATTTAGGGACAATCATGATCGCAATTGTGAAAACCCGATTTTTATTAGTTAAAAAAAAAAAATGGAACGCATGCTTAAATTTTTAACCTGAAACATTAATTAAAAATGTCGAGGAAACAATTCTAAATATAATCTTTTCTTTATCTCTAACCTTAACTCTAATTCTGCTTTTAAAATCGGTCCTTAACCAACCGGAAATTAACGTTTAATAGATGTACATGTACATCTAAGTGCGATTTGACATAACTACATGTAATTAAAAAAACGGGGTTTCACCAAGCGGTCATGATCTTTGCGAATTTTACCCAACTTAGATATTAATACGATCGTATCGACGCAAGTTTTTTAAAAAGTTATTACGAAATTATTAAATTTAACATTGTTTATGAATATTTTTTCATTGCTTAGAAATAACAAAAAGCATTCAATCAATTCTGGCATTACATAATACATTCCCTGGAAAACAGACATTGCGGTCGATAGATCTTGTGAACGAGACTCGTCGTTCGTTATAATGTCATTCTATTGAAGGAATTGAGATATAAATCAATGCTGTAATCTCGTTTTGTCCGTATTACGGTGCCTAATGATAATCAAATCAACACGTAAATTTGTCTTGAAATTTGCACATACTTGGACTATTTAATAAAAAGATGCAACGAGAGATATCTGCAATGAAAATATCATAATGAGCCAAAGAAATAATAAATAGGGAGAAGAGAGAAAATGGCCAGTTTGTCATAAAACCACTTGGACATCTTTTCAGATTTGTAGTTTAAGACAATATATCATTAAATTTGTAAATGCTTTTGGTGCTAAAACAAAGTTCGAAAGAATTACATTATTTATGGTTGTGTTGATTTTCTTCTTTGTACATATTTTTAATCCTATATTTAATCGTATCGTTATGCTCAAGCAAAATTATAGAAAACCAAGAGTTATTGAAATCCCTGCAATTGCTAAAATATAGTCATTTATTAGTCTAGTTGCAAACGAGGTATGAATACTAGACGAATTTGTTATATTAGAATCTGTAGCATTATTAGATGAATTTGTTATATTAGAGTTTGTAGTATTATTAAGGCTCAAGTTGGTCACATTATTTCCATAATTAGCAATTGAGTCATTATTATTTTTTTTGTAAGGCGGCGGTGTATTATTACCAATGCAACCAGCAACGGTATCGAATGTGAATCCTTTTTCTTTGATCGCATCAATTATGTCTGGTGCTAAATTAACCGTTGTTTCGTCTGTATCATGCTGGAGAATTATAAAACTATCAGTCTTTGGATTTGCTTTTGCAATTGGGCCATAGAGATTTTTAAAGTGGAGAGTCGTTTGTGGTTGTTTATTTCCGGTCTCTGATCCAACTCGCCAATCATTTGAATCATCGTTCCATAATGTGACTATGTAGTTAAGGGAACGCATAGTTTGTTTGCATTCAGAACCGCATTCACCATATGGAGGTCTAATTTAGATAATTTAGAAAAATTAGTTCTTCTTTTAATCGAGATTCTAATATATATATTAATGAATGCAACTTGTTCCAATAAATGAAAAACTATATTACCGCATATAAAAAGGAATAACTCCAATAGAATCATAAACAACCTGCTGAACATTCGTCATCTCTGTTATTTGTGCTGCTTTCGATAATGAATCCAAATGTGGATGTGTATTCGTATGTAAAGCAATTTGGTGTCCCCCTTTATAAGCTGCTTTCAAAGCGTCAGGCCCATTTTTTATTATAGCTACACCTAATACAAAAAATGTCGCATTTACCCCTTTGGATTTTAATGTCTGTAAAAGTCTTGGAGTGAATTGGCTCGGTCCATCATCATAGGTTAAAGCCACCACACCCGGTCTATTACAAGAATATATGTATGTGGATGCATTCTGAGAATATATCACCGGAAAAAGGTGGACAAAAAATATGATAACTTTTATGAAGATATTATCATTCATTGCTTAATAAAAGGGAGAGAAAGTTATCAAAAAAAAGCTAATGGTTAATTTTTTTATATTTCCATGAAACGTAACTAAGCAAGCTATGCGCCTATACATGTATAAATATTTTGTATCTCTCGTGGTTGACACAAACATGTTGTAAGAATTTTTTGTTTATGTCGAAAAAAATAAGAACTCGAGGGTAAAGTCGAAAAAAAAAATAAAAACTCTAGGGTGAAATCTGATATATACAGTATAGTATAATAGTCAAATCGTATCGAATTGCTGTACGTATCTTGAAAGCAATGTCGGTATCAAAATTTCTTTTCCCAATGATTGAATTTAAAATTTATTCATTGCGTTTTTTTACGCCACATGCACAGGAATGCACGTGTATGATACAATGAAAACACGTTTGTCGGTAACGGTAATATCTCTGGATGACCCGAAATACAAAAAGTGCTATTTTTAAACGCATTATTTTCGAAAAAATCATCGAAACCATGGAATCTACAACTGCCATTTTTTAATTACCGTTACACAGCAAAGAATTTTCTTAAGAGAACCATTTTTTACTGGTGCAGAACAAGAATCACACGTGATAGTTTAGATTTCATATAAAAGTGTCCTATGATAAATCGGGCATCACTTTACTAGCAAGTAGGTAAGAATTTTAAAGACGTTTTTCTGAATTCGATCTGAATTTCTTATAAGCTTCTGATTTCTACATTTCTGGAAACTCAATTTCATAAAATGAATGGATGTTACTAATTTTATGCGCTCAAAATTATAAAGTTGTGTGATTTCGTTAAATATAAATAAATGTTTCGTTGTCTTATTATTTATGCATATTGCATTGCATTGCATTGCCATAAAATAACAACTATGATATTTGGAGAGAACAATGTCCTATTAATAGAAAGTGCTAGAATAAGCTCGTTTCTTTGGGATTTACTCCTGTTTTACGTTTTATACGTCTATGAATACTGTAAACACCGCTTTTTACGGAATTAAACCGAGCTTTCGTATATTCTGAACACATGATATTTTGAAATTGTGCATTGCAAGAAAGATTTATAGTATACAGTCATAACAGTTTTGTAAATGTAAGATGCTTTTCGAGGTTGTTCTTTCTAATAAATAATAAATAATATTTAGATACTACACAATGCACATCACAGCCATGAATTCTAGCGAGTGCAATTTTTGATTGATGCAATCGTCAAGTGAATGAGACTATATATCTTGTTAAAAGCTATACAAGATATCAAGTCCGCCGCGATTCTATTAATAAGCTCGAGTATTACGTTATTCATGAATGAATAAGAATTTTAAAACAATAACGACAATGATTAATTGATATTGTGTTTATGTTTTATAAATTCAATATACCTGACGATTCAAACATAGAAATTGCACAATTTGTCAACACATACGTTTCCGTTCATTTTTTTGTTCTTTCGATTTCATTGATATGTTTTGTACATAATATTGGTAGAATTATTTATGTATGCATATTGCCTACATAAATAATAATAAAGTTCTTTGTTTTGAAGAGAAAAAATGTTCTATTAATATTTAACTATCAGTTGTGAAAGCATTTACCGGATATAAAATTTGTTGCACGTAGGAAGTTAGTCACTTTGATCACCGAAAATAGCACGCAAAGGAAACAAATTTTGGTATAGCAATAAGTGTTATTATAATTATAGCACATAACAACTATTTGTTTATTATCAATTATGTATTGAAAGTTAAGATTTTTCTTTACGTTATAGACTGGTATCTATGTTTTTTGTTCTATATTGAGATATGAATAGCTTTCCTTATTTTTGATTTGCATATTGTGAATTATAATCTGAATCAAATTATGCAAATATATGTATTTTTCAGGCACGATTTAGCGGTCACATATGATGCGAGGCATTTTAACTTGACAATCACGTGATTATTTTTGAATTTCCTGTATGCAATGTAATATAGCATAATATATAATGCAACCAATAATATTGTATCAATAGTATAATCACGTGGTAGTAATGCTCACTTAATTGCCATGTTATTATTAATTCTTTATTTCTTATGATGTATAATACATTACTATTATTATAATATATAAATCATTAATTATACATTTAATGATTTGTTAATTTACTTCTCTCACTTTATACTTTCTTCACTCTCATACTTCATCTATCTTCTTTACTTTATTTATCTTTATTAGTTACTTAATATTCTTTAGAATTCAGTATTATAATTTGAACTTGTTAATAATCTATTCAGTAACTTGATTCTTTAATTCTTTATTATAAACATCTATATATCTTCATGACTTATAAGCAAACTTGCAATAATAATTATAGATATACTATTAAAAATTTTTGGAATTAGATTCATCAAGTTTATATAATTATAATTACATATTCCTATAATATATTATCAGAAATTTAATATTAATTATTTAATGAATTGAAGTTTTTATTATTAAATAAAAATTATCATATTTATTAAACATATAATAAATTAAAGAAAAATAAAATGATAATATATAGTTATATTGATTCAAATTTAATAATCTATAAATTAATATGATATGCTTTTGCCATTAACTTTAATAATTTTATTCATGCATTTAGATAAACTTAAAATTAATCTATATAAAGTTTTCAAATCAATACTTACTATTTCACTTGTAATATATAAATTAATTTTTATTTTAATATAGGTAATAGTCTTTTTTTGAATCTAATTATAAAATTATTTTGTTAATGATTATAAACAAGATAAAATATGATATGAATAGTTTTAATTTATAGACTTCTAATTTTATTATTTGAATAATATTCAGATCTGAAGTTAAATTACAAAATAGATAGATCTTATTTATAGTAAAAAGAAATAAATATAAAAGATAAATAAATTATAATAATTCTATTTTTAAAATATATATAATTAAATAAATTAATTAACTTAATTCATATTTCTAAAGGATAACTAATTATAATTTAATAATTATAAATAATATAAATAATAATATAAATAATAATAAATAATAATAAAAAAGAATAAATAAAAATATAAAGAAATATTAATTAAAAAAAAATATTAATAATCTAAATTAATAATATAGATATATATCTTTTTACCAAAAGTATCTAATACTTTTAATAATAATTCTATTTTTAAAATACATATAGTTAAATAAATTAATTAACTTAATTCATATCTCTAAAGAGTAACTAATTATAATTTAATAATATAAATAATAATATAAATAATAATAAATAATAATAAAAAGAATAAATAAAAATATAAAGAAATATTAATTAAAAAAAATATTAATAATCTAAATTAATAATATAGATATATATCTTCTATCAAAAATATCTAATATTTTTAATAATTTGCATAAATTCAAAATCTTATTAAATATTTAAATTAATCTTTTCTGAAAATTATATTTACAATATTTAATAAAACTTATATTTTCAAAATCTTCTTATTATAAACTTTTTATTTGTAATATTAATATAGAATAAGATTTTCTTTATTACTAATAATAGCAGTAACTTTTTAAGATATGTTATTTATCAAATTTTTTAAAACACTTTCATCAATCTTAAATCACTTATTCTTTAAAATTAAATTTAGTTCTCTCTTATTTTTTAATATAGATTTGTATTTGTGTAATTTTCTTTCAAAATGATCTTATAAATACTCAATTAAATTGAGATTTGAACTCTGAACAGACTAGAATATATCAAATTTTTTTCTTTCCAGACAAGTATAAAGTTAGCTTTATAAATAAGAGTATTATTATCATGAAAAATATAGATTATTTTATTATTTAGATTTTTAATAAAAGAAATTAGATAATCTTCTAAAAGTTTTTTATAGATCTGATCTTTAATTCTTTCTTCTAAAACTACTAATAAATCAAGTTGATTTTTAATAAAATAGCTTTATATTATTATTTCTTTATTATTACTCTTTATGATAGGTACTAGATATTCTACATTATATTTCTCATGAGATCTATATTAAATCTATTGCTAGCTATTATTTTCAAATAAAAAAAAATAAAATTCATTACTTCAAATAATTATATTCTATTATTTATTCCAGCCTCTATATTTATAATATTATTTTAAGTATTTTACTCTATTAATTTCTAAAATAAAGAGTTTTTTCTTTTTAATATAACTAATAAAGTCACTTTTATAAAGTATATATTTAGTGATACTGTAACAATTTTGATTGGATTATCTTCCTTTAGATCTCTTTTAGCTTAGATCTTCATTTTGCGCTATCTGTATAACAGATTAG